ATTATATCTCAAAAATATATACAATTTTCTTCATTGAACTATATAATTTCAATTATATTCAATAATACGGTTTTTGAACAGGTCTCCATCATTGTTTTTCAACCAATTTTTACTTCGGTCTCGGACATACAATTGCTCTGAATGAATTTAATTTTTTCACAATTTTTTCACTTTCTAGAACTTCAATTAATTTTTGAGTATATTATATAACATTTTCGACAATACAGTTGTCTGATATGGAAGATACTATTTTCTTATACAGATTATTTATCCGATACTATGCACACAGACTATGTGAGAAACGGTAATACAATTTTTCGATACGATTTTGATTCAACGATTCGTGTTTACCCTCAAAACAGGATTCAGTTTCAAAAATTAACTATTTGTCAGCACTGAATTTATTTCCATTGACCGTTTTCTTGAGGTCTGAGAACAGCCAGTAATCGCTGGGAGCTGAATCTGGCGAATACAGTGGACGTGGAAGCAATTCTAAGTTCAATTCATGTTGTTTTGCCATTGTTTTAATTGACTTGTGACAACGTGCGTTGTCTAGATGAAACATATTTGTTTTCTTTGCCATATGCGGTCGTTTTTTTGCAATTTCCGACTTCAAAGATAGTCGACGAATATCACATCACGCACATCCAAAAATACCAACACCATAAACTTTTCAACCCAATGTTGATCTTTCGGGTGCTTTGGATGAGGTTCACCAGTTGCTCTCCACTCAGATGACAATCGTTTTGATTCCGGAGTGAAGTGGTGGATCCGTGTTTCATCCATCGTCACATATCGAAAATTCCGGTTCGTTCTGCTTAAACATGACCAAACAAGTTTCAAGTAGATTATCAAATCTCAAGGTAATCATACAGCTCAACAATGGTTTTGTTGCTCTTGATGTCTGATGATGAAGACTGAAGATCAACGGCCTCAGAAATAAACGTGGTTTCAAGAAATTTGCTCCGTCCATTTCTTTCGAGTCCACGGAAAAGTCTTGTTCCTCGCAGGCTCATTACACTTTTCCACCTATCTTTTCATCCGAATCTAAGAATCTTGTTTCCTTTACTGGTTTGTACAAATTCTTAGTTGGATTTTTGTCATGTTCTTGTAGACATTAACAGATATATTCCTGTGAGCAGCATTGCCTGCTGCTGAAGTCTCTGTTTTACAGCGCTATTTTTGTATTTTGGCCAAACAGAGAAAATCTTTTCCGCAAGAATGGACGAACATAGGGCATGAGTTCAACTAGGATTGTGATCTATTACATTTGGAAGAGAAACGTTCGAATCTCGTTCTTTTGGAATGCTCAGAATGCCAAATAGAATTGAATTATTCTTTGTTGAATTTGTTTTCCAATGTGGAAATTAGTGATTAGTTCATTACACGTGAATTTAGTGAGTTCGTAAAATCTCTCCTCTTTTATACCTAGTTAGGTATAGTCGAAGTAACTGGTATTGTGCATACTTAAAGTGTCGCCGCCCTCAAAGGCCAACAAAACCAATACAAAGAAATAAAGCGCTGCCAAGTAGTCCACGTGGACTGAAGATTTGGCGGTTCGTATTGGATGACTTTTACTAACCGAGTTTTATGATTGGCTGAAGAGTCATAAAATTTAATTTTGAAGTCATGTTACGGTGACGAATAGAATGCGAGCCGTCGTTTGTCAATGTTCAGTTCAGTTGAGTGTTGACATTTGATATTGGTGCAGTTATAATTACTTAAAAAGTTTTGTTATCTGTTTAAAATGTGTGTAATAGTAATAACGAGTGTGATAAAAACGCAGACTTTTTCCAGTGTAGTGATTCCAAAAGCGATGATGAACAATGCGAAAAAGAGATACTAGTGAATAAGATTCGAATGCATTTGAATACTGAAACACAGAGAGTATCTTTCAATGTATATGAGAATCTACATCTCCAGTTTGGTTTCGAGGAAACAAACTATTACTAGCAATACCAGATTTGATCGCAACGCAAGACGAGACGAGACGAGATATGAACGCAAGACGCGATGTGATACGGGATTATCAAAACCTTTAGATGTTCATCTAATAAAATTGTATGGACTTTTCCTACAACTGCTTAGTATAAAAACATGTAAATTCTTTATTGTCAAGCAGTCATCCAAATCGAACACTGTAATCGAACACTCGAAAATCGAGTAGTCGAATTCTCGAAATGTGCGTTGGATAACCTAACCTGAACTTCCGGGTCGCCACCTGAGGAGAAATCCAGAGACAGGAGTTCTTTCTGATGCCAACTGTGGAGTGAGTAACATCGAATCCAGTCACTGAGGCTAGGCCTGCAAACACGTGGTCTCCGTTCTGCAAACCACGTGGTCCCTCAAATTCTTCTTGCTATTTTGCTGTAGTGTTTTGTAGTGGTGTTGTGTTAATAAATATTATCATTGAACACATGTAAATAATAATTTACCTATCACCGTCCCGACAAAATTATTGAAAAAAACAATGTACGACTGTTACAAAAGTAATGAGATTCATATAACTGAAATCATAAGGATGAAATTGAATGCTTCCGGCCATAACGTGAGCTGCTCTTAAGAATTGGATAAAGAAACTAGTATTTAGATTTGAAATAATAAACGAACATCAAGCAGTTATGAAAAGCAGAAGAATAGTGGTATTGCGTAACAAATACTTAGAACAAATGAATATATATAGACAAGAACAGCGGCAAATTTTCTATTTGAACGAAATTTGGTATGACATTTACGACATAGTTATGAAAGGGTGGACTGAAGGTTCGAGAATGTGTACGCCTAACATGCCTGCAAACAAAGGATCACGAATAATCATTGTTCATTGCGGGGGAAGTGAAGGATGGGTTCTGAATTCTTTCAAATTATGTGGAAAAAAACTTGAGGATTGCAATGTTGACTATCATAAGAACATGGAAGCTAATATTTTTGAGGAATGGTTTGAAAACATATTGATCCCAAATTTGGATNTTGAATCCCAGAAGTAGGAATCTGGTTTAAATTGAAATGGTATATTTTTAGGAGAGATCAATTTTTAGAAAAGGAAGTTTTTAGCCCTCTACTTCTCCATCTTGATACAAAAAATGTCGTTTTGACATCAAAACCATCAAATTAATTTCTACATATATATAAAGTGGGCCAACAAAATGATGGAATCTATTTCAAAATTGAGAGTAGTTATAGAGATTATATAGTAATGGGTGGAAATAGAAATGTAATCCATGGAAAGCGTCATACAAAGTGGTAAATTGATATTATTGAAAAATCGGCTTTCAATATCTAACACTTAGGTACATGTTAAAAAAAATAATTATTCATAGTCAAAAAACTGAATAAATTCTTTGATTGCTATATGTCATAAGAACTGATTTCGTGAAAATTACTACGCGAAAATTTGTAATTATATATAAAAAATGTAATTATTTCTAATCAAATACAATGTCTCACTATATGAAGTGAAAATTGACAAATATGGTATCGACTATCCACAACTTTCAGCCAACGATCAGCTTGACTTTACATCTCGAACTGAATATTTTGGATAAAACTTGATTTCAGTTACTCGTCAGAAAAATCAATGTATCTTTTCTATCTCATCTCATCTTCTATCTTGGCGAGCAACAAAAACACTCAGCGAGGAGAAACCAGCAAGTTTGGAATAACGAAACACAAATAGTCCCACCAATATAACATTACGTGGTTCGGTGATTAGATAATACACAGGGGAAAGCACTGGTTTAAAAGCAAGTTCGAAGAAGCTGCGTACCTACATGTTGGGAAACGACACCATCAGCCAGAATTGTGTAGAAGCTCGCAGCGTTTGGAAATCACTACATACTAGAGCTTGTGTATGACAATAAAAAACGGAAACAATAAACTAAGTTAAGACGTTTTCTGTGTAATTCAGTTGAAATGGAAAAATAAATAAAGATATCATGTACATGAATCAGTGAACAAACAGCATTACAAACTAAACTATCGGTCATAACATTCATCATTCATACACCATATACGTAGAGTAATTGAAAGTCATATGTCTTATATTTCATTCAATGTTCTGTTCTTAATATGGTCCTTGATGACTGCACTTTTGTAGAGTTGCTGTCTATTATATAAGGTAAGTCCTTGTTCAGAAAGATTGCAACAGTACAGAATATGGTGAACAATAATGACAGATGTGAATTAAAACATATGAATAAATGTTCAAATATACGTATAAAGCTGGTGTAGATCATGATTTGTGAAATTATTTCCATTTATACCTGTGAATATTTACATTCATTTTTGTGAGAACATGTGCTTTTTCTTTTTGTATCACTACTTAATTTTTTTTCGTTCCAATATTTCATTTATCTTACCTATTGTTATATTAGTTAGCCATAATTTCAGTTAATGACAAATTTTTGAGTGACATTGACAACCTGAGATGATTATCAGTAATATCTTCCCACACAATTATTTCATAGTTGATATGGGACTGCACTAAATTGAAATATAATATTCGTAGCTGTACTATGTCAAAAATCTTTTTGAAAAACTTAAACTTCTTCAGTAGAAACCTTATTTTATTCGCAACATATTCTTCGTGCTTATTCCATCTTACATTTTGATATATTATTATGCCAAGATATATTATATGTTCTTTCATATTTATAGTCATTGTCATTATGGATTTCCAACGAAGAAAAATTTGGCAAGTTGTTGCTAAAATAAGTGAAAGGTACAAAGCAAGTTTTTTTTTTATCGATTATCAGCAACCTGCTCTTAAACCAACTGACAATTTTTATGAAATCTCCCTCAACCTTGTCCTTCAATTCTGTCCAATTATCAGCGCGATATAGCACGGCTGTGTCATCAGCGAAATTAATAATGGTACCTTCTGAATTGATCCTAAACAAATCATTCAAGTAGATATTAAATAGGAGAGGCCCCAATACCGTTTCTTGGAGGACTTCATATTCTATGGTTCAGTGAGAACTAAGTGTTCCATTTATTTTGACGCACTGTTTCCTATCACAGAGATGAATGAAATAGTGTTGTTGGAAAATATGATGGGCGACTGCTGATTTTTCTAGTCTTCCATATTTTAGGTGTTGAAGAGGATCACTTGGTGATCGAAACACATGTCGAGGTGTTAAAATAACGGTTTGCTGTTGGGATAAAACTCCAGTTATATCTTACTCACCTTCAAACTCGTTAATTATCATTTCCAATATGGACTTGAATAATTATTTTCTTAAAATAAATTAGCGTTCTTAGCTATTCATACTGATTCGAATGTTTTTCTTTCAGTATTTTCAATATTCATGTGTTTTTGTAGCTCCATATCTCAATAAATATTTATTCTACTATCTAGTGGTGTATACTGATCGACATTACATTTATTTTCATTGAAATTCAATAAAATTTCATCCACTGAATCAAACAAAAATACTTGTTTTACTGATACTAATGGTATGACGAAATGATCAGAATCTCGTCATGATTTCAACATTCTTTCCCGGAAGAGGAAGAGAATTGCCCACCCATCTTCGAGACTTCTTCCTTAGACGTCTCACGTCTTCCTGGCTATGAGATTCGTCCTGTTTTTCTTCACTTAATCTCGATTATATTTCAAAATCATCGTCGAATGTGGAGAGTTTACCTTTTCGACTCCCAATCTTGATAGGTTTTGTCATGAGACTGCTGAAGTCACTAGGCAATTTTGGGTTCTCCATCGTTTCGAATTCAGTAACCCAAATATTCATTAGTTCATGTTCCACACAACAGTCGAGACATGTATTGGTGTCGTCTATTTCCTCCGTTGAAATTTTCAATTTGGTAATCGCTTCCGATATCGATTTCGTTCTATCGATCAACAGCCTGTTACTAGCACCAACGGATTCTTCCATATGATGAAAATTCATCGGCATCACTCCATGCGCTTAAAGAAGCTACTACACAGAGAACATTTCTCCACCTAGCTCCCAAATTCTACAGCAATTCTACCCCTGAGCAATTAAAACTTACAACAAACGCAATCATACTGAATAAAAGCAAGACACAAACAGTTATGTTCTCGCTGTCTCATAATCTCTCAAATAATGTGAAATGTCTTGGTATTGATTCAAAGTTAACCCATAAACCCCATATTGACAAACTAGCAAAAAATCTATCATGCAAGGTATATGCAATCAGGCAGATAAAAAATAAAATCGGTAATGAAGCTGCCCGTACCGCTTATCATGCAATGTTTCATAGTTCCTTAATTTATGGATTGATCTGTTCATATCTTGAGAATATTTAAAATTCAAAAGAGAGCAATCAGAGCTTTAGCTGGAATAAGTCAAATGGAGAGCTGTAAGAATTGGTTTATCAAGTTCAATATATTAACTCTGCCATCATGTGTAATATACTGCAATTTGATATATATTCAAGAAAATTTACAAAAGTTTACTACAAATGGTAACAATCATTCGTATAATACTAGGAACTAGGATATTATTAGAGCACCAAACCAAAAACTATAAATAACAAGGAGAGATGTAACTCATACATATCATTGTACAACTCACTGCCCCAATCAATGAAAAATGCAACCCTCGCTTATTTCAAACGGAAACTGAAAAAACATGTCTCAGATAATGCTTACTATGATGCGTCTGACTTCAGCTTTACAGAGAAAAACACGAAATTGTTTTTGATCCATTGTTTTGAAAATAACAGAAGTAGTGTCAGTCTTAGCACAACAACTCACAAATTTATTTATTTATGACTAGAATATCATGAAATTTCAGCAGTTAGTTCCAACTGAAAAAAGTGGTGAATGCCAGAAAACTAACGCCATCTATGTGTTAGGTCCCAGACTTTCCAGCCCAGTAGTACGTTGAAAATATTCGAAAACATCATACATTTTTGTCTATCTATAATAAATTTAATGTCCCCACTTCTGAGTATGGATATGATATATTTCAGCACTTTAGAATTGGAAATACTCTTCTGAAATTGTTGGTTGGTGGTTGGAAAAAAAGGAAATAGTAAAAACTCACTCAACAGCATATCAGGTATATCATCGATCGAAATTGGTGGAACCCTAAACATTTCGATATCCAGCCCGTTCTTCTCGTCTCGATCTCCACTGATCATGTTTTTCGCACTTATCACAGGACTCGCGTCGACTTCACTTCCAAGGATGCACAGGATCAACTGAGGGCAGCGTATTAAAATGCGCCGTCGCGTGAACTGAACTTTTATCGACCCTTTGTCCGCCTACTGGTGATGACACGTTCTAGATTTGAGTGAACCGAACTTTATTAAAGAGACTATCCCTTGTTTTTCAGACCGTATCGTGGATTGGTGGACGCGTAGGGACGCCCCTCCTCGATTTATACGCCCTGATATAGGGGGCTTTTGTGCTCAGGGGTGAATGCGAATTAAATTCTTGGATTCACCGACAGAGGAAAAAGCGCGTTTGCAAAAAAAGCTCGAAGGGAAAAACTATGTACGATGTTACGTCTGGCAACAAACAGAAAATAATCCACAGAAAATGGTCCAGGAAGAACATAAGTTCTAGTTGTAATATGTCAAATCTCGTTTCAAGTAGATTATCAAATCTCAAGGTAATCATACAGCTCAACAATGGTTTTGTTGCTCTTGATGTCTGATGATGAAGACTGAAGATCAACGGCCTCAGAAATAAACGTGGTTTCAAGAAATTTGCTCCGTCCATTTCTTTCGAGTCCACGGAAAAGTCTTGTTCCTCGCAGGCTCATTACACGTGGGGTGGCACTGCCATAATCCTCCAGTCCATTTAGTAAATGTCCCTGTGTATCGAGCTGGGGTGCTAGTATATGTTACTTATTCATGGATGTGGTGGCAGACGCTTTTAACCCCGTTTATTTGCTAAGTGGCTGGATCAACTCCTCCGCTTTAGCATAATTAGGAGCATATTAAAAGATCCGGACCGTAAAGAATCGGTAATGGTTGAATCTCGAGAATTTTGATGACTTTTTAATTGATACGCGGAATAATTGATGTTGTGAGCGACAGGTGGGAGATTTAAGTTTATATTCTGTGGGATTTTGGAAGTTGTTCCGCAAATTTTATAAAAATAAAATTTCATCCACTGAATCAAACAAAAATACTTGTTTTACTGATACTAATGGTATGACGAAATGATCAGAATCTCGTCATGATTTCAACATCCTTTCCCGGAAGAGGAAGAGAATTGCCCAACCATCTTCGAGACTTCTTCCTTAGATGTCTCACGTCTTCCTGGCTATGAAATTCGTCCTGTTTTTTACTGGCGCACATTTGTTCATATCTTGAGAATAGTTAAAATTCAAAAGACAGCAATCAGAGCTTTAGCTAGAATAAGTCAAATGGAGAGCTGTAAGAATTGTTTTATCAAGTTTAATATATTAACTCTGCCATCATGTGTAATATACTGCAATTTGATACATATTCAAGAAAATTCACAAAATTTTACTACAAACGGTAACAATCATTCGCATAATACTAGGAACTAGGATAATATTAGAGCACCAAACCAAAGACTAGAAATAACAAGGAGATGTAACTCATACATATCATTGTACAACTCACTGCCCCAATCAATGAAAAATGCAACCCTCGCTAATTTCAAACGGAAACTGAAAAAACATGTCTCAGATAATGCTTACTATGATGCGTCTGACTTCAGCTTTACAGAG